ATAAGAGGCCAGGGGAGGCTAAGTCTCCCCAAACAGCCAGCCCACTGCCTTTGGAGTGTGCTGCCACAGAAGGGGCACCCAGGCCATGGCCCACCCACACTCCACCTCGAGACCCCACTCCCATTCATCTCTTTCCTCTTGAGGCCCTGCCCTTGCTCCGCCTCTTCCCTCTCCACTCCATCTGCATGGGGGCCTCAGGGAAGGGGGTGAAGAGGCACGTATAAGTGGTGAGTGGCCAGCCACCTAGCTGGCAGGTGGACGGGGGAGAGGCCTCAACGGAGCGGGCGAAGAGGTGCAAGTGTTGGGTGGAGACGTCTTGAGGGAGGGAGCCTAGTGGGGCCAGGGGTGGAGCATGGGTGGGGCTTTGGGGGGGAAGATACCGAGTGGGGGTGGGCCACAGGGTGGGGCCACAGTCCAGGCACACCCAGCCTCCCCAAATGGCAGAGTCACTCACCACTCATGGCAGGGAGGCGGTAGATATGGCATATCTTGTCTTTAGTAAGGCTTTTGATACTGTCTTACTTGACTGTCTCATAAACAAACTAGGGAAATGCAACCTAGATGGAGCTACTATAAGGTGGGTGCAGAACTGGTTGGAAAACCATTCCCAGAGAGTAGTTATCAGTGGTGCAGAGTCAAGCTGGAAGGGCATAACGAGTCGGGTCCTGCAGGGATCGATTCTGTTCAATATCTTCATCAATGACAGGTTTCACAGTAGCAGCCGTGTTAGTCTGTATTCGTAAAAAGAAAAGGAGGACTTGTGGCATCTTCGAGACTAACAAATTTATTTGAGCATAAGCTTTCATGAGCTACATGATGCATTGGTTGAAGTGAGCTGTAGCTCATGAAAGCTTATGGTCAAATAAATTTGTTAGTCTCTAAGGTGCCACAAGTACTCCTTTTCTTATCTTCATCAATGGTTTAGATAACGGCATGGAGAGTACACTTATAAAGTTTGTGGATGATACCAAGCTGGGAGGGGTTGCATGTGCTTTGGAGGATAGGATTAAAATTCAAAATGATCTGGACAAACTGGAGAAATGGTCTGAAGTAAACAGGATGAAATTCAATAAGGACAAATGCAAAATACTCCACTTAGGAAGGAACAATCAGTTGCACACATACAAAATGGGAAATGACTGCCTAGGAAGGAATACTGTGGTAAGGGATCTGGGGATCATAGTACATTGCAAGCTAAATATGAGACAACAGGGTAACATTGTTGCAAAAAAAGCAAATATTCTGGGATGTATTAGCAGGAGTGTTGTAAGCAAGACACAAGAAGTAATTCTTCCGTGCTATTCCAATGTTGATGAGGTCTCAACTGGAGTACTGTGTCCAGTTTTGGATGCCACATTTCAGGAAAGATGTGGACAACTTGGAGAAAATCCAAACTAGAGCAACAAACATGATTAAAGGTCTAGAAAACATGACCTATGAGGGAAGATTGAAAAAATTGGGTTTGTTCAGTGTGGAGAAGAGAAGACTAGAGGGGACAGGATAACAGTTTTCAAGTACATAAAAGGTTATTACAAGGAGAAGGGAGAAACATTGTCCTCGTTAACCTCTGAGAGTAGGACAAGAAGCAATGCGTTTAAATTGCAGCAAGGGTGGTTTAGGTTGGACATTAGGAAAAACTTCCTAACTATCAGGGTAGTTCAAGCACTGGAATGAATTGCCTAGGGAGGTTGTGAAATCTCCATTATTGTAGATTGTTCAGAGCAGTTTAGACAAACCCCTGTCAGGGATGGTCTAGATCAGGGATCGGCTCCCTTTGGCACGTGGCCCATCAGGGAAATCCACTGGTGGGCCGGGACGGTTTGTTTACCTGCAGCATCTGCAGGTTCCGCTGATCGCAGCTCCCACTGGCCGCAGTTCTCCCTTCCAGGCCAATGTGGGCTGTGGGAAGCAGCGCTGGCCTAGAGATGTGCTGACCGCCACTTCCCGCAGGCCCCATTGGCCTGGAATGGCGAACCACGGCCAGTGGGAGCTGCGATCGACCAAACCTACGGACGGTGCTAGTAAACAAACCGTCCTGGCCCGCCAGCAGATTTCACTGACAGGCCGCATGCCAAAGGTTACTGATCCCTGGTCTAGATAATACTCAGTCCTGTCTTGAGTGCAGGGAATTGGACTAGATGACTTATTGAGATCCCTTCCAGTCCTATGATTCTATGAGCTAGTGTGATGCTGCCTGGAGGTACCCAGGTTTGTGAGTCACCTCACCACCACTGGTCCTTAGCATGAGGAAGCCTGGTCTGTACCTGCAAGGTAATGTTTAATTTGTGCCAGCAGGGCTTGCCAGGGCTGAGCACCGGCACCTCTGGGCTTAGCAGTTCATAGCCTGGCATCTCTGTGCTTGCTGCATCAGTTATGAATTTTAAAACATTGCTTGAACCCCGGCACATCTTTCATTACAAGTTAAGCACTGCTGCCAGGGGTCAGCTCTCAGCTCCACCAATTCATAAGAAACACAAGCCCTCCATTCTCTGCTCACATGGACTCCACTGTCCCTCTGCAGGTCAGCAATTGGTACACACCAACTGCTGAGTCCTCCGAGCATCTCCCTGGAGTGCCCAGTCCCTGATCCACTGGACACTCACAGAATTCCCAGTTCTGCCATTCCCAAAGGAACAGTGCTGCACAGCTTACCAGCTACCCCATAGGCCACTACAGCTCCACGTAGACACAGCACTTCACTTTGGTTATAGAGAAAGCAAGCGTACGTGTATTTAACAAAGCCCAGAGATTGCAGTGATAGGAAGCAGAAATATTGGAACCAAAGGGTTACAGATCAAATAAAATCATAACACATATTCAAGAGCCTAAAGCAAACTAACAAGATGCCCTTCTGGGTGACCTGCCTTTAACTTCAAGGCTTTAAGAACATAACTTCCTATATCGGTACACAGCTCCTTCCATATTAGTCGCACATACATTTCACAAGGATTATGATGAGCAGTGTGACTCAGTAGAGACCCTTACATGACATTCTTTGGTGAACTGAGATGTAAATACCAGACCCAGGGGATTCCTTGCACCCTTATGCCCCCCTGTGCCCTCTGCCAGTTGGCACCACGCGATACCTGGGTCAGAGCTAGGCCCTCTGGAGGAAGTTAATGTATTGTATAATGTATTACCACTGGGCTCAAAGTTCTGAGTGGGCTTCCGCCTCCTCACTTCCCTCCCCCAGCTTCTCACAAATAACTCCTTGGGGGCTGTGATGTAATATACTCCTGTATTCACATCCCACACACTAGTGTAATGATCTACGTACCAGGTATGCCTTGTGAGGTATCATTTGAAAACTCATAACTTGCTGATCAGAATTGTCCTGATAAAACACGTGTGGCAAGCTTTACGTGAAGTTATATGATTCCCCTGGTTGATGTTAAGAGTGCATGTTCAAAACTCATGTAGCACCAAACTAGTCAAACCAGCCTGTTTTGAACAAAGGAGTGTATGTTTGCTTTAATTTTCAATTAAGTAGTAAACAGAGTCATTAAGCAGGAAGGGAAAACAAAGGAAGCTCAAACAAATGAAAACAGACAGCAAGGAACATCCTTCCCATGAACATCCTTCCCTATTGGGTAGCGCTTACTGAGTTAAACTGAAGCCTACTGTAGGAAAGAGGGAGGTAGGAAGTGACCCAGGGAGGTTGACTCAGGGCACTCCAGAATGAAAGACATTGGACAGACCTCATAGGGCCCTGTGTCAGAACCCAGTAGTGTGGGAGGGCCTGGGATCCCCTACCTCTCCCATTATGACCAGTAGGTGGAGTGACCACCAGAGACCGCCACCACTAGGTGGTGCACCCCGATCTGTCCACAGTGCCCTCTGAATATTAATTCATATTTACTGATAAATTTCACACGAGAAACTTCATCAGTAAAAACCACTGCAAATACTTTTCCATGTATTCACAAAAAAAGGCTTAGTTGGCTGCTCAGGGAGTGTTTCACACCTCCAGCCCCCACTCACATTTTCCTTTTAATTATCCCTGTTTTACACCAGTGTATCTCTATGGACTGCAATGGAGTTATTCCTGATTTACACTGGTGGAAGCGAGAGAAGCATGAGAGCAGTGATGTCCAGTGCATTTACAGACATACACACATACAACTACAAACCCACCCAACTATATATGTACATACTATGTGTGATGTTACAACCCATATTCTTTATGGAAATATGCTTATGATATGGATATGGCATAAATGAGATATACTTTATGCATGATGGGTCTTGTAAGGTATCATCAGAAAGGTTATAATTTACTGAATGTGATTATCCAATTTGTATGCCTATGTAACCCACACACCTCCTGAATGTGGTGCTCTGTCCCATCTAGTGGCACCGAGACCACTTAGAGAGAGAGTTAAATGAGTCTGCTCTACAGCCTTAATTAAGAGCCAGTTTGCTTTTAGCTCATGCAGTAGAGGCTCATGCACTAAGCTCCAGAGGCCCCAGGTTCAATCCTGCTCACTGACAACTGGAGTCTGTGGGTATTACAAATGGGGGCTTGTCTGGGATTTCAACTGGGAAGTCTCTGAAGCTCAGGACGCTCTACCTCAGCTTGGGGAAATATGTAACCCACACACCTTCTGGGTGTGGTGTTCTGTCCCATCTAGTGGTACCGAGACCACTTAGAGAGAGAGAGATAAAATGAGTCTGCTCTTAGCTAAGAGGCAGTTGAGTTTTAGCTCATGCGGTAGAGGCTTATGCTTTAAGCTCTAGAGGCCCCAAGTTCGATCCTGCCCGCTGATGACCAGGGTTTGTCAGCATTACACATGTATCATTTCTGTATCTAAAGTTAGGAATATTGACTATGTAACAATTACAACAGTGTGTGTATTTGAGAGAAACCAACCAGACAACAGGCCATCAGCTTTGATGGGCCATTAGGAAGAAACAATAAGACTTTGAAGATACTAATCTCTCTCCTTCCTGAAAGTCCTGGGATGTAGCTGTGACACTACTAGGTCAGGTGGTCCTCTCACCTGGTACTAAACCCCATCTTTGACTTCTAGTAATTTTCCACTAAAAGGAACGAGAGGTCAAGACTAGAAACAAAAGATTCCCGCCTTATGTAAATTTTATTTAAGGCTGAGGAGTAAGGCAAACAGGCAAACTCTTCTCCATTGCCTTCCTGCCCAAGAAGAAAGTCTGCTGAATGTACCTGAAGAGACAAAGGAACTCTGTGGTGGGAAAGGCAAGGGCTGAGTCCAGACTAAGACAGGAGTCTAGTCTGTAAAGAGAAATAACTGGAACTCTAAGCTACAGAAACTCTGCAACTTGCCTAAAACAACATTTAGGGTGAGAACTTACTTCTTGAAACCAGTCTCTTTAAGATCTTAAGCTTAGTATGCATGTTTTGTTTTATTGGCTTGGTAATCTGCTTTGTTCTGTTTGCTATCCCTTATAATCACTTAAAATCTGCCTTTTATAGTTAATAAACTTGGTTTTGTTTATTATTAAACCCAGTTTGTGCAATTTCTAACTGGGGGGGGGGGGCAAGAAGTTGTGCAAGAAGTTTCTGATGATACTTTTCTCCACATTGAGGGAGGGGGTGAATTTATGAGCTTACGTTGTATAGATTTCACTACAGCACAAGACAATATTATTTTGGGTGTACTTTCCAGAGGGAACCTGCACTTGGGTGCTGGGCAATTTCCTAACTGAGCCTTCTCATAGAGAGCTGTTTACAGACTCTGTGTGATTCTATAGCTGGTGCATCCCTACCTGCGTGTGTGTGCTGCCAGAAGCTGGAGAGCCTGATTCAGCAAAACAGGAAGAGGGAGCCCAGGCTAGTGAAGCAGGTGGGCTCAGTGAAATCCCAGGACATCAGGTGGCATCCCCAACCCGTCACACTATGCATATTTGTATTTCATACACAAGCACATGGAGAGGTGCACGCAACTATACAAACAGAAACACACTCACTGCTATAACCCTATGCAGCAAATACAAACACACATGTGACTGTAAACACCATTGTATATAAACACACACATGCACAGAAGCACACTCACCCAGTAACACATGCATAATCTCTCTCTCTCTCTCTCACACACACACACACACACATTGTTATCTATCTGTGTCAGAAGCCCTGAGTTCTTTTGGCTATCTCTCCAGCCTTTTGGACTGTTTATTAAATGTTGTTCTTTCAGTTCCTATTCCTGGTCACTGAAGCGTCAGGCTCAAAGGGCATTTCCTCCTTTCTGCTCCATGTGTTACCTGGGACGTAAGGGAGGTGAAGTGAGACATATCTCAGACTTCGATATAGGGACACCATACGAGGCATCTCAGACACATAGAGGGAACTGGTCAACTGCACTAAAAAGTGTGTGGAGCTTTGATGATCTCTAGTAAGGGATGGGAGAATCTCCCCTAAACCTCGAGGGAGGTTTCATTGTGTGTATGTTTGTGTGCATGAGAGAGAGATACATTGTGGGGAATTGAAGAGATGAGGAGAGGCATGCACAGACATATAGAGAAGGGAAAAGTTTCACTTGGATCTTGTAGTTTGTTTTTCAGCCACAGCTTCCTTGGCAAATGCACTTCAAAACACCAGGCCCTACAGCACCTGTAGCTGCAACAGCTGGAAATGGAGTTGCTCTGGGCCTCCTGCTCTTTTCTCCACATCACCTTCTGCTGGGAGAGGCCAGGAATGGAATAACTGGGAGCTCCCTAAACACAGCATCTGTCTGGTCGAAGAGCCTAGGTTTACAATAGCAGGGAAAATTCTCTGCAAAGATTTGCTGTCCTTGCCCAGTGCTGTGTCTTCTCTGTATAAATGCATGTTCAAGTCTGCATTTATATGATGATGTGGGATGAGAGCAGCCTTCTATGATCTTGCAAAGAAAGGCAATATAGGGAGTATGAGGACCAGGTGAGGGCCTAGAGGAAAATTATGGGCTTGAAAAGCTAAAGTTTGGAATGTCAGTTCATTTTAAGAGTGATCACCAGACTCTTCCTCCTCCCACTTAATGAACTCTTAGAACAGTTTGTGATGTCATACACTGGACCATTCTTATGTTAGCACCAATTAGGATTTATTAAGCAGTGCCACATGAATTACGTTTTGAAAATGAACAGACAAACAAAGGCAGTGCTTCCTTTGATTATAGATATTTTATTCAAATATTAAGTTGACAAAAGACAGAGAAAGTAAAACCTAGAAATCTACCAAGAGAAAAATAATTCAAACAAATAACCCAAGAGAATAAATCCTCTCTAAGATCGCTATATATGTAAATGAATAATGAATTAGTTCCTTATAAACTGCATTACACAAAGCAAACCATATAGTGTTATGTTCATTTGGTGAAACAGCATTGGCTGCAGAATAAGCAAGATACTTTTGTGTTAACTGTGATGGAATAAACCTGTACACTGAGTCACAGGTGTTAACATGACCCAGTCACTGTACAACGTTAAATATTTAAACATGATTCACTTTTCAAAAGGCTACAAGCTGAACCAATGGGAAGGAAATGGCTACGAGCAACTAAATCAAATTGGAATGATTAAACATCCTAGTGTCCTATCAACATTCCTCCCCCATGATGGCCTGGTTCAATACACTTCCAGAGACTGGTTGGCTGCCCAGGCCAGGATACTGGCGGCTATCAGGGATTGGCTGATGTGAGTGCTCTTTTCTGTTCCTTGTCTTCTACACATAGGCTGAAAATTGGAGTCTGATTCTCACCTGGTGAAATCTCTAAGCAAGAGGGAATGTTCTGGTGAGAAAAGCAACAGTTGAAGTTAATTTCTTTTTTGGAGGTTGGCAGCTTAACATTTGCACTCTTAGACTCATTCTGGTATTTAATGGACAGGGGAGGAACTCCCTGTAACAGCAATCACCTATAATATTAATTGCTTCAAATCTCATTCAGAACCAGGGCAAATTACAAAGGGGTTCTCAGGCATGTTTCATGGTCACAGGGACTCATCTTTAGATCTGGTTGGGAGTATTCCAGCTAAACGGTTTTTCATTAGAAAATGCTGATTCGTGAAATCCAAAACATTTTGTGGAAACATATCGGTTGTGAAAAAACTTTTGTTGGGAAAGTCTCTCAGGACCACCATGGGAAAAGAAAACAAAAGGGGGGGAGGGATGGGGCTGGAGAGGGAGACCGCAACCCCACCCCAGAATAGCCAATGGCCTGGTGGTTTAGACATTCCCCTGGGATATGTGAGACTCAGGTTCAAGTCCATGCTATGTCTCATTCAGGATCGGGGATTTGAACCTAGGGCCGAGATTACACCTAAAACTGCGATAAATTTCATAACATGCGTGATGTGCTCAGGTGAAACTATCCCCCTTTATACTTGAAACAACATAGCTACTGCCTCTCGAGGGGGTAAATTTACCACAGCAACAGAAACCCTTCTTCCGTCACCATAGTGTCTATGCTACAGAGCTACAGTGACGTATTTGCAGTACCGCCGCTGCATCGCTTGTAGTGTAGACATAGCCTGGGTGTCCCAGAGGAGTGTGTGAGTGCCCTACACACCGGGCTCGTGGCTACTCTCGGGAGGGTGCTCTCACTCACTCTCTTCCACCTCCTTGTGGTTTTCACACAAAAACTGAAAAGGTCTCGGGTTTGTTCCAATGCAGACTGAAAACACATCTTGGAATTTCCCATGGGACGGAAATATCATTTACTGGCCAGCTCTTCCCTTCACGCCCTGACTGTGTGTCACAGTACTCATCTGGAGTACTGTGTCCAGTTTTGGGCCCCACACTTCAAGAAGGATGTGGATAAATTGGAGAGAGTCCAGCGAAGGGCAACAAAAATGATTAGGGGTCTGGAACACATGAGTTATGAGGAGAGGCTGAGGGAGCTGGGATTGTTTAGCCTGCAGAAGAGAAGAATGAGGGGGGATTTGATAGCTGCTTTCAACTACCTGAAAGGGGGTTCCAAAGAGGATGGCTCTAGACTGTTCTCAATGGTAGCAGATGACAGAACGAGGAGTAATGGTCTCAAGTTGCAGTGGGGGAGGTTTAGATTGGATATTAGGAAAAACTTTTTCACTAAGAGGGTGGTGAAACACTGGAATGCGTTACCTAGGGAGGTGGTAGAATCTCCTTCCTTAGAGGTTTTTAAGGTCAGGCTTGACAAAGCCCTGGCTGGGATGATTTAACTGGGAATTGGTCCTGCTTCGAGCAGGGGGTTGGACTAGATGACCTTCTGGGGTCCCTTCCAACCCTTATATTCTATGATTCTATGATTCTATGATCACCCTGCGACACGGGTGATTTGGAAAGGGGAGAGACTTCAGGGGAGTTCAATGAAACATTCAATGGCACCGTTACTGGGAGGGAATATATAAACCGCATCATAGGCGCCGAATTCTACTGGCACCGGTGGGTGGTTGACCCCCTCTGCCCCCAGCCCCATCCCGACTCCACCCCTACTCAGCCCCCTCCCACCCCATTCCAACCCCTTCCCCAAAGTCTCTGCCCCCTCCCTGCACCTATTCGACTCCTTCCCCAAATCCCCCGCCCCGGCCCCACCTCTTCCCTGCCTCCTCCCCTGAGCGCACCACGTTCCCGCTTCTCCCCCCCCTCAGCTTGCTACAGCTGTTTGGCGACAGCAAGCACTGGGAGGTAGGTGGAGGAGCAGGGACGCGGCACGCTCAGGGGAGGAGGCAGAGGCAGAGGAGGTGAGGTGGGGCGAGGTGGGGCAGGGTGGGGAGATTGGCTGCCGGTGGGTGCAGAGCACCCATGAATTTTTCCCCATGGGTGCTCCAACCGCGGAGCACCCATGGAGTCGGCGCCTATGAATCCCATCCAGACAGTGGCAAGGAAAGCTCTGGTTGGGGGATGGAGGGCTGTTGCTGACAACAGTTTTGCAAGTGTCGATGGGCTCTGAGAGAAGGATATGCGGTATAGAGTTGGAAGCTGTGTCTGAAAGGGAGGGTCAGGAAGACGGGTCTCTAGATCAAGGACGGGATGTAAGGGAAGAGAAGAACTGGGGCGTTTCTCTGTCTGGAACTTGTCTAGCC